TAGATGAAATACAGCACAAGAAACTAGCACGTTACCGAAAACCATCTTAGAATGGCATTTCCCTAAATGAGAGAATGACAATTCTCAACCCCCCCTCCTGGGAATGAGAATTAATCTATTCCAACCAATTTTGATTTTGATTCTTATAACAGTTTGAAAAAAAAAAAAAAAGGAATAGACCATTCATTCTGATTCCGATTCTGTGGAAATATTTCAATTCAAATTAATTCCAACTGTGACCCAAACTGACCTTTCTAGATAAAATGAAATTTGATATATATATATATATATAATACCAATACTTAACCCAACCAGTCATTTCCAAAGGGAAAGAGTGGAATGGAATACACGATGCTGTAACACAAAACTTCAACCTGATGATAATTCCTTTTTAAGCAATTGAGCCTTTGAAGAGGCGGTGTCATTTTGGAATTGGTTCTACTTACTGCTATTAATCATTAATTGATTCAAGGGCAATGGATCTTTTCTACTGTTTCTGATTATTTATCAAATATCCATGTTAGGGCAATCCTATTAATTATTATCCATACATCAACACAAATATATTAATTCTTGTCCTTATTACAACAAAGTTAAGATTGACCTGTTCATCCTTCACATATTCTAACTCATGCAACCGACAATGGGAAGTATACGAGAAGTAACATCCCCACCTAAACAGATTAATTATAGATGAAAGTCTTTGTTCAAGAAAGATGTGTGCCATATTTTTGGAAAGCAATCTGACAGGTGTTAACATGACTGCTTCTAACTGTCATTTATTTTTAACTTAACCACTCTTAAACATGACCTTAGTTAGTCACAATTCAGCTGATAACTCTTTTTCTCAACAGCTGATATCATTTGGAAAAGGTCAAAAATCATGAATTCTGATATCAGCTTTTTCAAAAAGCTGATGTTGTTTATTAAAAAACAAGGACCTTGTAGGCCACGTTTTAAATTGATTGATAAAGTCGTCAGAATTTTCTTCTATTTTTCTAAGCAACACAGTAAAAGAAAAATAAGAAACTAGAGTTTCTGACCATTTCTCAAATACCCCTTTTTAAAATTTCAAGGTTATCCTATTAAGGTAATTGATAGTGCTACAGTTGAACTCTTATTTTAATCGATCTGACGAGCAGAGCAGAGCAGAGTCCAGTCAAGTAATCCCCACCTTATTAACAGATGACACACAAATCATGCTTGAATTCCCTCCCAAGTTTGGGGAAACTATTGGAATATATTAGAGGATATAGTTGATGAACTTGGAAATATCTACTACATGTATCAAAATCTTTGTTCAATACAACCATGTGCCATGTTTTTGAGAAGTAATTAAATATATCGGTAGGTATGAGATGACTGTTTCTTTCTGTCATTATTTCTTTGACATTAAGAACAAGATTTCAAAGAAATGAGAGCAGTTGTGGACTTTGTAATTAATTCCAATAAACAATTAATCCAATCCTGGATTACACGCGGAGACCAGATCAGAAGATACAACACCATTTCATTGGCTTCACTCTATAAATAGCACAGCTCTCATCCCAACCTTCTCAACCCATCAACCAAGCAATTTGTTCATTTGTTCTGTCAAGACTTCAATATTGCTAGCTAGTGAAAAATGAGTGCTAGGATGATTGCAGTTCTTGTCCTCTTGGCCMTTTGCTCTCAAGCTTTAGCCTCTGACCCAAGTCCTCTGCAAGACTTCTGTGTTGCCATTAAAGACACTGAGACTCCTGGTACTACATCTGCTCTCCCATTCTTTCTCTTTGTTTTTCTTCTGTCACTTGCACAGAATGCAGCCCTATACTTCCACGTATTCAACCAACTAACATCATATTACTTTTAAAGGCATTCGTTTGTTTTTCGGATTTTGAAAGAGTTAATTACTTTTTAAGGTCTTTGTTTGTTTATGGTTTCTATTGACTATTTTACCCTTATTCTTATTTTAGAAATATGTGGGATTTATGGCAAAATTAATTTTCCTGCGTATCACAGTGAAACCCTTTTCGGACTTGGGTAAGTTGATGAACTTCCCAATAGATGGTAAATGAAAACAAATTAAAATAGTCAAAAAGACCCCTATAAGATATTTTTACCGAGGTAAATTAAACAAAAAAAGAACTTGGGGTAAATGCACTTAGCTAGGTAAAATGGGTCCGGATGTAGTAGGCACGTTAGGTAAGCAAAATGAGTGAGCACGTAATAGATGTGTGACATGTCCTAGATAATGCGTCTTTAATCCAAACGTTTTTGTTTAGACAGAAATTATCCCTTATTTTATTATCTTTGTCAAAATAATTAAAATAAAAACAATGAAAAAGGAATACCTAAACGTGTTGGGAGTTCGGACTCATTTACGTTTTTTCTTTTTCATTGTTTTTATTTTTAATTATTTTGACCAAGATAATAAAATAATAGGCAATTTCTGTCTAACAAAATAAAAACGTTTGGACTAAAGACGCATTAATTAGGACATATGTCGCACAGCTAGTACTTACCTAACATGCCTACTACATCCGGACCCAGGTAGGGTAAAAAAGTTTTCCAAAAACAAAAAAGAACCTAAATGTTTTTCATTTCTTTATTCACAACTGTTGTTGACAATATTCTTATTTTTCTGAACAGTGTTCGTGAATGGAAAGTTTTGCAAGAATCCAAACTACACAACAGCGGATGATTTCTTCTTTTCCGGCCTTGACAAGCCCGGAAACACGTCCAACCCTGTTGGCTCCAAAGTCACTCCAGTCAATGTGATGCAATTACCAGGTCTCAATACTCTTGGCGTTTCCTTGGTTCGCATAGATTATGCTCCCTACGGCCTGAATCCACCCCACACCCACCCTCGCGCCACCGAGGTTCTGGTTGTGTTGGAGGGCACACTCTACGTGGGTTTCGTCACCTCCAACCCCGAAAATCGCCTCTTCACCAAGGTCCTGAACAAGGGAGATGTGTTTGTGTTCCCTGAAGGTCTCATTCACTTCCAATTCAACGTGGGGCACACCAATGCCGTCGCCTTTGCCGGTTTGAGCAGTCAGAACCCTGGTACAATCACCATTGCTAATGCTGTGTTTGGATCCAAGCCACCCATCAAAGATGATGTTCTTGCAAAGGCATTCCAGGTCGACAAGAAGGTGATCGATTATCTTCAAGCTCAGTTCTGGATGGACAACAACTAAAACTAAAAACAACCACCACTCCCAATAAGAATACTTTTTATTCCTTCACCAATAATGGGGTTTGTTCCAAGTTCATGAAGATTATCATAATGTGATTAGTGTTTGTATCTGTTCTAAATATATGTGATGCTTAATTATAACAATTTAAACAATTATGTATACGGGTTCTGTTTGTTTCCCACTAGAAAATAAAGAAACATGGGTCGATTTATATTGGTTCAGTTTGTTTAATTACAGTTCGAATTTCATTTGAAGTGATGTAAATGCATGCAAATAGGTTGATTGTAAATTCTGGCTTTTTTTATGCTTCCGATTTAATTTTGTCTTTTTGTTTGTGAGAAATAAAATGATGTGTTTTCCACTTTACATAAACTAGAAAAAGAGGTAAGAGTAGTGTTGTTTGTTTGGGACTGAGGTAGAAAACAAGAGGATTTGATCCTCTCTTTGTATATATGAGAGAGAATTGAATTGAGCAAGTGGAAGGTGGTATAAATTTAGCATCAATTTTTGGCATAAAATACACTTCCACCTATCATTAAAAATATGTAAAATTAAACCAGATGCAAAATTTGTATAATTTTATAGATTTGGGCTGAAAACAAACAGAGCCTTAGGTTTTGTTGACAGGGTATACAGATCAATCTAATGGCAATAAATAATGCTAATAACCCTCTTTACCAAGAGATGTATGGAATATACGTGACCGTGCTAAAAACAATGTATTCAAAGCTAGACCGGTGGTAACCAGACTCATTTTGCTTCAGTGATTGAGATTTGAGAATGATGGATGTTTGCTGCACTGTTGTAAGACTCGGCCCGGACCGAACAGTTGAATCGTTAAACGGGGGAACCAGTGACCTTTTTGGGCCCCAGTTAAATGACTTGGAAAAAGTTCTAAGCCTTTCGGCTCAGGTTCAGGCTCTAAACATTAGGCCCAATTATTATTTTTTGGGCTGGGCTTGGGTTTCCCTAAATAAGCCTAAGCTCAGCCCAATAATATTATATAATAATAAACAAACAAAACCTGGCCAGGCCCATAAACAGGTCTATTCGGTACTCATAATATCATTTACGCCTTTATCAGAAATAGTCACCAAACATACATAATTCATACATGGCTACCGAAATTCAGTACTATTACACCCAAATCTCATGAAAGCAAAAGCTGTGCAAATACTTCAAAAAAGAATGACATCCAGTCATACATCGGAAATATTTTCCACATTTGTATATTCGTCAAGTAGGGCTGAATCCCATGCTCTCGGAGTATTCATAAATCTTTCTCAATTAATAACAACAAGCAATGCATCAGATCTGAGAATACTATATACAGCCATATCAACGACCTTTCCATTCATAATATAACACTTCCTCAAGACCCCCTCTCTAATGAACCCAACCTTCTCAACGCCACCCTTGAGATATCAAATTCTCAACGTCGATCAGAGCTTCAAGCCTTTCCAAACACGGTAACTGTGCAAATTCGCAATTCCATGCCCCCAATACATCCGGGCTAGGGCATAACCAACTTCAGCTCTGCAATTGCATCCGTCTTCAGCCAGATTGACAATGATGTGGGCGATGGGTCGACCGTCGAAACAGATTGCTCCATACCAAGTGGAGCAACAGATGTTACGGTTGAGATAGGCCAGAGCATGTTCCCTACAGATAAGCTTGTTCTATCCGCCAACCGTTCTTACTCGATCATCGCACGCCCATACCATGTAGTCATCGATGTCAGCAGAACTGATTGATCGGAGCCGGAGGGAGATGTTGGGATCAGTCGTCGTAGAGACCTAAAGAGTGGGTAATTGGTGTATGAGGATGTGAACAACTCAGACTAAAAAAAGGGAGGGGGAGGGGGGTGGAGGGTAAATTGTATATTAGGTTGTGTTTGGTTGCAGTATAATTTTATTTGTACTCATGGTTTTCAAAACCGGATCAGACTGGAAAAACCGGGAACTTGTCAGGTGACCGCTTCTGTTTTTCCCCAAAACCTGATTTTGACAAAAAATCGTTGATTTGGCCAGTAAACTGCTGACCTGGGCAGTTGAACCGTTCAACGGTTTTGACCATTTTTTGTCAGAACGGGCCGATCGTTTGGTTCAGTCAAACCGTTCAACCCAGGAACGGACCCCTGACCAGTTCATTGTCCGGGTCAGTTTTAAAAACCTTGTTTGTACTTAGCATAAATGCATGTGCAAATGAAAAAAATGCAAATTTTTCGTTTAATTTTATTTTATTTGGCTTCATGTCTTAATTTACTTCATCTGTACTGCAATAAATTTGAAACAAAAATAAGTCAAAATTTACACTCAAACCGTTTATACTGCCACAATTTTGCATTAGTGCAAATTTATTTGCATTACAACCAAACACAGCCTTACTACCAGTTTGGTATCTGAAGTTCAAAACATGTTAATCCCATAACCTAAACTTTTAAAACATCTCAGTTTAGTAGCTTTGGTTCAAAGTCATGTGAAATGATGCAAATGCTCTTTCAGTGTCATCTAATTTTCTTTATCAACTATCCAAATGTCCTTCGGGTTGTTTATCATGACTTTAGTTCAATCTTGATTCTTGATGAAGTGTCTTATTTTGAAAGATAATTTTGATATTTTCAAAAGTTTTAAGTCATACATGTTATCATATGATATAGATAACTGACAGGCCGTTAATGATAGGAATAAACTAGGACGTTTTGGAAGTTCAGATACTGGATTGGCACGTTTTGAAATTTGAATATCAAAGTGAGACTAGGCCCAAAATACAAAATACTAATATGTAATTTATCAGAAAAAAAGTCACTTTCGGTTATACAATTTTGGGTTACACTGAACAAACCCTTTCTCTCTTTCGTTTTTGATCCTCTCAGAACCAAGATGCAACATTGTCCCATTAGGGCTGCGAACGGATTGTATTGGGATTGAATCCACCTATGTCCACACATATGATCCAATTATAGAACATTTGGATATGAATCTGATCTGAAATCCGATATATTAGACTCAATCAGATTGCAATTAGGGCTGTTATTCAATTGGTCTGGGTTGGTCCCAAGTAGACTCGGAATTGAATCGGACCTATAGGGCTTGTAATTTTAGACCTAGAAACAAATCAATCAGTTCTCAGGACAATTGGGTCTGACCCAATGGATCCAATTATAATATTTCTACTAAAAAATTATATATATATAATATTAATTTATTTATATTATACATTTAATATTATATATATTATATCTCAGATTGAGTCTCAATCAGATCGAGACTAAGAATTGATACCGGACCAGTAAGAAATGGGACAATGTATCAAGAACCAGAATCGACTCAACCAGTTCTGGTCCATCAGATCCAACCCTACTCATTGAGAACCCTAATTCCAATTTAATCCATATTTAACTTATTATTAAAATAAAAAAAAAGTTTAAAGTCTTTAAAACAATTATTTTTAGTTAAACATGTATAAAAAATAGGATAAAATACTTGATCCTTCACTTTTGACCTCCCCTCTGCTTTCAAAATGGACTAAGACCTCCCCTCTCAGATGTATCAGTTGTAATGTCCAACGGATGAGTGAAAAAGACAATTATGTCCTTTCAGACTAAACATTGAGTTATTTGGTTTTTAATCAAATTATTTGTAGAAAAAAATCAAAAGTCATCCTCCAATCGGAGGTTGGATAATCTCTTGCCGTTATAAGGTATGAATTTCTTCCAAGCGCCTCTACAGTGAGTGTTTCGGGTCAGACCATGGTTCAGGGGGTAGGCAAGTCTTAAACCAACCCCTCTGGAACAGATTGGAAAAAAAAAACTAAAAAAATGGAAAAAACGAGCCTCCATATAGGCCGGTATTTTGAACTTTGGTTCTTGATTTCAACAAAAACAATTCACGTTGATTCTAGTGGGAATATACTAGGGTTTTCTAATTCACAGAAGCAGAAATTTCTTCCTCTTATCATCAACCATCTAATTCATTCACTGATTAATGGAAGTTAATATTCTAGTGTTTGGTAGCTTAAAGGTATTGGGTCTTTGGAAACAACTTCCAAATACTCTTCTTCAAGCCACCAAAAAATTTATCAACAACCATCTAATTCATTCACCGATTATCTGTACAAGCCCTTCCGTTCTACAAAGAATACCTTTCTAATAGTCAATCTTAAGCTTATATCTAAAATGGATTTTTCTAGACTCAGTAACAACAGGAATAATTGCAATACAAACCCAGACATAGTTTGATTAACCCCATATCCAATCAGCATGCAAACCTCTGTCAATTGTAACTTTGATCAGTACAATCTATTTATAAAGCCTTTAACAATAGCTTCTATAAATACATCCAAGGGATGTAAGGTTCTAGCATTCTAATTCGAGGATATAAATATTCAAAATAGGACTCCCTTATCAATTCTTTCTCGAGTTGATTATTCATTATTTCCCAACTTAAGGTTATGTCACACCCATTATCCATTTGTTACTGTTATTATACTCACTTCTTTGTATTTGAGCTTTTGATATTTGAAATACAAGTCTTCAGGTAACAACCTAGCTTGATCAGCTGAGAGAAAGTGAACTGTTCTAAAAGTTTGAACCCAAATATATTCAGATTATCAGCACAGGAAGTTCATGACTTTGCAGTTTGCATCACATGAAGGCAGCAAGAAGCAAAGAATAAGCTAATTGAGATTACATCCAGTGTCCATTCCTGTAGAAATCACATAGCCAGAGAGCAATATCCTTAGTTCCTATGTAACCAAAAATATTAGGGGTTAATTAACCTAACTTCATTTGCTTCCTCATGCTTAATATGCAAAAGTTCAGATATAGATTGGCTAATCAGTATGCATGAAGTGTAACAGTTGCTGCAACAAGGAAGAGAGTTCACTTGGAACATTTACAATACATTTACAATACACCACTCAAGTATGGCCAGGGAACTAACATTCTATTAAAAAGAACTAATGAAAAAGAACAAAACAAACGAAAGAAAAGGTCAATACACTACAATTAGCAAGAATCTGCACGACTCAGTGTTCCCTTGACTTGAAGCCTAGCATAAGTTGCCTGAGTTACTTGGGTTCAAGAACAACATGCTGCAAAACAAACAATTTTTAACTGTTTATACTGTACTAGAAAGATAAATATATACTTGTTTAATAGTGGATTTATAAATAAAGGGTCTCTTTAATCGCTATGCAGATCAAACCCCTGTATCTAAAACCAAAGATGGGTACCTTAATCTGGGTCCTGTTATATGTATAGGTGATGTGAACATCTCCGTCACCGGCCTGTATGACAGCAGGATAAGAGAATTCCATTTCTGAATTTTCCTCCAATGTTAGCATGTCATGCCAGGTGTCACCATCATCGCTGGAAAGGGCAACTTTGAGCACACCTCTTGAGATTGTGTTATAGGCAAGTAATAAACGACCATCATTCAATTTAACCCCATCAATCCCTAGACAACAAACCACATAGCATAAGCCAGTGAAACAGACCGACTCTCAAGAGAAAGCAGGAAAAATAAACAAGAAAAGGAGCAAGTATAACACAAAAGAGAAAGGTCTGAACAATCAACCTGAGTTTGGATTAGGGAGTTCCGTAGGCTTTGCATATCCCCAATTCAGGCCCCCATCATAGGATTCTGACATACAGATTTTGCCTATTCCTTCAAAGGATCTCAATAGAACACGTAATGTCCCATTTTTAGTAAAATAAGGAACCGGTTGAATAACACTGAGAGGTTCACCTTCAACAAATACTGGACCATACTTCCTCCATGACTGTCCTGAATCTGCTGTGACCTACATTATTTGAGTCATAAAACATAGAGAAATCAAATCTTGCAACACACAGAACAACTCTGTCTTATCATTATTAGGTTATCACTTAACTTAGTACATATATTACCTCTATCCATGCACCCCAAGAGTTCCAACTCTCCACAGAGGATCCACAGAGAAGACGTCCATCTTTAAGCAAGATGGGCTGAAAAGGAGAAACATAGAATGCATGAACATCTTAGAACTAGATAAATTCCAGTGGTTATTATGTGAATAAGAAGAATATAATGAACTTATTTTCTGCCTTATTCTTTGTTGGTCCTAATATTCCAGCTGGAAGTTGTTCTCTGTCTGACCAAGTGATACCGCCATCAAGAGATCGCTTCATGCATCCACTCCATCTGAAATTCAATTCTCCACAAGCATGATGGATGAAGAAGCAGGTGAGAATATTCGAAAATAGAATGTAACCACGGCAAGCTTCATCTAGTATTGCATTTCCCAAACACACACACACAAGTCAGGACCTCTTCGTCATAATTATGTCGGGACGAGTAGAGGAATTCCCAGACCTGACATTTGTTATCACAAACTGAAAGAGTGGTGAAGACAACTGGCACAATAAGATTACTAAAGAAAGCACAAAGAATGGTAGTCAACCAGCAAATGTTATTGTTATGAAGACAACCAGAAAACTGGATTTAACAATATAAATAGCATGTTAGGGCCACAAAACAACTGGATTAAGGTGAAGTTTATAATTCAGATAAAAACAGGCAAATATAGGAAGAGGAAGGTAACTCACAGCAGTGTTTTATTTGGGGATCTAAGCCTCATAATGAATCCAGATCGTCATGGATGGATTAGGGTACCAGAAGTATCCATTAATTTGTTGGAAGAAACTTCCATCAATCTTTGTTCTTGAGCAAAAGCTCCAATTTTTCTATGGAAACTAGATGTGCAATTAACTTGTCAAGTAAAAGGGAATTACTATACCAATTTGTATGGGTTATTCTTCTGATGTGAAATAGCATAACTGTCCCATTTTAGTAACTATACTAGTGAAGAGGTACACCAAGTGAAACCTAAAGTTGCGCACTCAATATTAAACCACGACTAATCAAGGTAGTGAAGGAAAGAATGTCACTGTTTAAACTGATTTACAAGTATGTAGGCACAAGGGAAAACGCTAGTTCAACTACAAAATTAGTTGGTTCGGCCTAAAACAAAAAAACAAAAATCATGTGCAAGGAGATGAAAATGCCAAATAAATTGCAAGATACACTAAGGTACCAATGGAATTAAGGAGACTAGTGTTTATAGACCTGAAAGGGTTTAGAGAGGAAGAAGAGGAAAACTGGAGTTATAACAAGTAGAAACTTCAATAACCTTTATGGATGTAAAGATTCTTTTTTGTTCAAGGTGGTAACAGAAAGAAAGTCCAAGGAAGATGAAAGGTAACCCACCCTCTAAATGGAGAAATCCCCATAAAATATTATTTAAATTTTTGAGGTTTGCCAAGTTCTAGTGATACTTTGTAATGATGGGCATCAAAGTTCCACGATTTTTCCTTAGTTTTACTCAGAAGCAGCATATTCCAACTAATGCACAATTAAGCAAATAGATAAAACCATTACAGAAGTGCCAAACTGACTTGTACCTTTAAAGTTTTCATCCTTAACCACATGCTTAAAAGAGGTTCTCCATCATTTGCTAAAGTTACACTTTCATCTGCTATTTTTCCTTGAGTTAATTAGAAGATATAAACTCATGAAGAAGCAAAACTCAAACTAATTCAAACATCACAAAAGTTCCCTACTAGCATATCCCTTTAAAGTTTTCATCCTTGATCACATGCTTAAATTTGCTTTAGCTTATGTAGATTAAAAGGGCATGGACATCTTCTGTTCCAACTGTTAGATCAGTTTTATAGAACAATATCCAAATGCCATCCTAAAACTTTTACTGTTTATGTGATAACTTAAAAGAGACTTTGAAACCATTTTCTAAAACAAAACTGCCAATTGAGCAAATATTACTACCCTTACAAAACAATAAAGCAATACTAGGAAAATTTGGTAAAGAGAATGAAAACAGAAATTCTAAGAAGAATGACAAATCAGAGAATACAGTGAAGGGTTGACAACTCACTTTTGGACCTCTTGACCAATTTTATAGAACAAAAGCAATTCCTGAGATGGAAGCTTAAACAGTACAGGATTCCACATTGGAACATCAGGCTCTTCATCAACCACCATAGGAGGGTACCAACAGCCATCCTATACAAGTAAGACGTATCCATATCTTATGTGCCCATATCACTATCAACCAGCATCTCAAAAAGTGAAACAGATTAAAAGGGAAAATCCTAACCTTGTAAGTCTGCAGCCAAATTTTCACATCAGGTGCTCCCTCTTTAGATCCACCAAAGTAAGCAACCAAAAAGTGATCTCTTTCGACCTGCACAAATAAGGCATCAACACTAGAAACAACTCGATTGCAAAACAGAAGCCTAAGAAAGAAGATAAGAAAAGAGAATCTCTCCACTACCTCAACAATTGTAGAAGCATGGCAGGCATTAAAAGGAACTGAATTTGCAGGGAAGGTAAACTCCTCTATCACTGGCTGACCAATTCCATGACCCATCACCACACTATGCTGTAATTCCGATCCCTTTATATTATTAGTGTTCGAGCTTGCAAATCCTCCACCTACCTTCCTGCTTAGGTTAATCATTCACTTTTTGTAAGTATAACTAGAAAGATCCATTGTGTACAACTCTGTTTCTGTGCTGTATGTGTGTATGGAGAGAGAGAGAGAGAGAGAGAGAGAGAGATGAGATAATTTCTGAATTTCTGATATTTGTACTTTCCTCTGTAACTTAGAAATGCCGTTTTTTCTTTTTGTACTTACAGTGAATTTAATGCAGAAAAAATGAGAACTTTGAAGTAGGAGCTGGAGCTGGAACTGGAACCTCCAATTCTGCCGATTCGGTTGCCATTGAATCTGGAACTAATCAATGTTCTTTGGGCATCAAAAAAGCCGAGCAAGGATAGGAAGAGAAACACCACCACCACCACCATAACGGCCACTGATTTCCACATTCCGACCTGAACCCTTTTCCGGGGTCGGAAACCAGAAGCCTTTCACCGCATTTCCTGCTACATAACTTCACTCCTTGGTCCTTTCCCAATTGAGAGAGAGAGAGAGAGAGAGAGAGAGAGTATTATACTATTATTTACTCTATAAACACTATTATTTACTCTATAAACGCATAACACAGAAACAAAATAATTGCATATTGCTGCCAGCTTTCTTCATCAATTAATTATTTCAAACAACAGCTCTCACTGTCACTGGTTCGATGTGGTCTGGATATAACTTGGGAGGTACAAGATAAGCCGTCCATATTAGATTTGAGGATGAGTTTGTTTGTAAAGCCTTATTATAGCCAAAAATCTTTCACGTGGTAGAATTATTTGGGCCCAAAAAAGTTTCAATTTTCTTTCTCCCTCAGTGCGGGGTGTTCATTATACCGTCTACACCGTCAAATCAGACTGAATCATATGGGCTTGGTGTAATTTGGCTTTAAAATGGTTTGATTTAAGAACTTCTCACAATATATAACTTTTAGGATTTGATTTTTCAAATTTTAGAAATCAGATAAATTGTAGATGATATTAAACTGAATTATTAATAATATATATAATACAAATAGTATATAAGTGTGTCTATATATATTTATTTAATATTTCATATACTATATTGAATCACTTACCTTTGCCCCATGGAACTGTATTTCAATTTTCCTTGACATAGTTCATACTTTTTCTAACAATATTAATAATTCTAATAACCCAGTTTACGTGCAAATCGAGCCACCAATTGGCTGTTTATGTTTTAGAAAATGTGAATGTAATTTACATAATAGTAGTAGGTGGCACTTTTTAGCATTTAAAATTGATATTTGAATTATATTTATAATTTATATAGGTATCCATATTATTTGGGCTTTCTAATTAGATCAAGTCCAAATGCCAATAGGATGGCCCAAACCGTATTAGAAAACAAATTAAACTGTAATAAAACAGTTTAGTCTAGCTTGGTGTGTATATTAAAATGGTTTGATTTGGTCTGAAAATTCTGAAAATTTATCAAGCTATAATTTATTGAAAAAAAATCTTCTTCAAATTGAACCAAATTGGGCTGTGAACACCCTAATCCCTAGTACCATTGGAAGATACACGATCTGCTCCCAACAATAAACCGTTCAAACAAGTTGCAACATCTTTTGTGCCCACACTTACATGGGCCTGTAAATGGATCGGATTAGAATTGAATCAAATTAGGTTCAAATTTGATTTAAACATTATACACATGTATATCATTCAAATAAAATTCGAGTTTAAACGATATATCAAAACTTGAACCCAAATTTGAATTTGATTAATATATCAAATATATGATATGATTCGATTTTGACCCATTAGCAAGGTGCCAACTAATTGGTTGATAAGATCTCCTGCTGGTTATAGCCAAGACCTGAGATCAAATCCTGCATGCACTTGAATTGGGGGGTTTATGGGTTTGGGGAATGGGCTACTCCCGGTTGTGAAGCCCCTTGGAGCCAAAAAAAAAAAAAGAATCAGAGGTTCTATCTATCTTGTAGGGAAAATCTCCTCCCCAGTGAAGTTTGGAATTCTTATTAAGGGGGCGTTTGACAATATTATTGATTTAGTTTTTGAAAACAAACACAATTTCAAATACCCTTGAGAAAACAATAGTTTACTTGGATCAAAATTTATTATCCAGCATTAATTATAGGCCTCTAATGTCCTATTTGAAAAGACTTATGACTTAGAATTAGAGTCACATACTACCAACACCTCTCCTTGCTACCAACACCTCTCCTAGCTAGGGTGTAGGGTCTGCCAATGGTCATTAGTAAGGAGGCATTCTCCAAGATGAACTGTTTTTTTAATTGTTAGTTCCAAAAGCAAAACTGAAATCAGAACCACATTTTTGAATTCTGGCTTCAAAAAACATACTAGAGAATGGCCACCCCATACTAAGGCCTGTATTTTGATAATTTTTGTTTTTTTTTTATAAGTGATGACAATTTTTGTTTTAGACCTTTATTTATGTTGTAAGCTTAAATTTTTTATTTGATATTTTTTGTAGTATAGATTTGTTATATAATTTAAAAGACTAAAACAGATTTTATTTCTAAACAATAGCTCAAGAGATCATACATCATTTGAATGAGATTTTTTTTTCCATTTTAAGTGGGGATAACCACCATTAACCTTTTATAGTGGAGATTACTACCATTTGGTGTTTATATTTTTTTTTATAGTGGTTAGACACATGTTTTAAAAAGAATGCTTATATTTAAGAGTGGAAATAACCATCCTTTTGTATCCAATGATTTGACATTATGGCTCAGTTTGGAAGGAATAAAAATGTAAATATGTAAAGTGCAAAATCTTATATTTTGTATTATTTTATACGCGTATATATTTGCATTTATACTCTTTCCAAACTGAGACTATGTTTCATAAAAGCATATAATATGAGATTTTGATCAAACGGACTTTAAATCACCTTTAGTATTTCTATATTTTTCTGCTTTTTTAGTTTTACTTTAGGCTCAAATCCATTTAAATGTGGGTTGGTATAATCCACAAAGCTCTAAACCAAAACTTAAGCGCTTTTAGAATAAATTGGTGCGTATGTATGACCCCATACAGGGAATTGAGAATCAATCAGCTTCCAGCATCATCTATAGTCACATCTCAAACTTTGATTGCTGTCTCAAAAGTATGACCCTATCAACGACAACATACCGTTAGACGTGGCTATAGATCGCATTGGAAGCTGTATTGGTAGCAAATCTTTTTTTTGGTATTCGGTGTCATACTAGAGAAAATGGTCATCCTGTACTAAACTTTTTTTAACTAATATATCTTATTTATTATCTATCAAATTTATCATTTCAAACTTAACATATGATAAGAATTATACAAAAATTAAAAAATGGTATATTTAATAAAATAATTGGTTCTAGGTCTGAATCAATTCAGAACGGGCAAAGGCAAGAACCAGAACCGACCCAAGTATGAATATGGACAAAACCATGGAACTAGAACCATTTATAATTGATTTGGTTGGTTCAGGTCCGTCGGGTAGGCCCGACCCATTGACAACCCTAAATAGAAGCATTAAGGAGTGAATTGAAATTGTGAGAGCCAAAGAACCGCCCCGATTAGGATAGACAATTGACCAATCTTGGCCTATTCCCATATGGCTTCCAGCTAAAAGAAACAATCTCTAATAACCTTAACAACCGAACCGTTATAATCCATTGTCTATTTAGGTTCATCAGGTAGACCAGGCCCATTGACAGCCCTAAATAGAAGCATAGGCCCTGAACTAAAATTGTGAGTCAAATAACTAATCCGATTAGGATAGACAAATGACCAATGGCCGGTTGTTGCTATCTTGGCTTATTCCCATACGTCCTCAGCTAAAAGGAAACAATCTTCAATAGCCTTAACAAGTTGGCGCAATTGAACTGCAATCCTGGAGGGAACACATTATTCTGAATTCATCCAATGATTCATTCTAACCAATTCTATCTGTTTATAAAAGGCAACGAACTAATGCAGATTTACGTGTCTCTAAGATGGTACTTGATTCTATTGCCGTTATCATATTATCAGCTCCAATGGACTTGAAATTTTGTTTGGTTAAGTTGTTTATATAAAAAATAGGGATTTTTAGACTGCACTCTACCTCAGAATTCTGATTTGAATTGGAGACTTACAATAATTTAAAATTTAAAACAAATCTACATATAATACTGTTTTCAAAATTGGACCGGACTGGACGGTCAGATCGGGAAAACCGAGAACCGGTCACTTGACCGGTTCTGTTTTCCTCCAAAACCACTTTTTCCTTCAAAACTGTTGATTCTGGTCAGCAAACCGTTGAACCGACCGATTAACCGTTCGAATGGTTTTGATCATTTTCTAATTTTTTTATTTTTTTATTTTTCTGGTCAGAAGTTCGAACCAAAAACCGGACCCCTGGCCGGTTCAGTCACTGGTTCGTTTTTAAAAACCATGACATATAACATCCACACCCGCTCATAAATTGGCATCAATTCCGACCTTGCAATCTGACACCTACCCCAATTGTACAATAAAACTAAGATTTCTAAAGGTATACTGAACAGTAAAAACCCCAAAAAATATAGGCGCCTAATGGTGCCTGTCATAAAGTTACAAAAAAATGTCTCTGACCTGACGCTGTTGTTTAAACTTGAAAAATGTCTAATTCATAGTATTTAGCGTATCGATGAGTTTAACACAAGATAAAGAACGATACGTGATACATGATGAAGACCCAGACGACCATCTTTTCTGCAGAACCCATGTGATTGGAGAGATTCATCTTCTCTAGCAAACCTAAGGGTCCGTTTGGTTTACAGTTGGAGTTGGAATCAGAATCAAATCAAAATTTTTTGAAATCGGAATCGGAATGATCCATTCCCATACTCTGTTTGGTTCAGACAGGAATGGGAATGGAAATGGGAGTCAGCAGGAATGGGATTTCATTCCCAAGGGAGGGGCAGAGAATAAAACTGCAACTTGGGACGAGTTGGTCCGAACCCAGCACTAACCCAACCCGAACCCAACTCTATAGTACATATTATATATATGATATATCATACATTTATTTGTTTAAATGCATGATAGTTGTATAACCTTCACCATATACTATCGTTTATTTCTTTTAAGATAATCACTTCAATTAATCCTAATTGGAAATACTAAAACCTTAACAACATATTTTATGTTTTTTTGAATATTTTATTCTTTATCTCCTCTTTGCCACCCATATCTTGCTGCCCATAAAAGATTTATTATAACTTTATAAGTCATAACTCATAATAAATTAACTATAATTATTTCAAACACTTTTTTATGAATTTTATACTTAAAGAACCAATAAAAACATCAACAAGCAAATGCTAATAAAACATAGGATTAATATATGTAGTGAAGGTTGAGTTAAGATCTAAGGGTCCGTTTGGTTTGTAGTTGGAATCAGAACCAAAATCCTCCGGAATTGGAATCAGAATGGTCCATTCCCATAGTCTGTTTGGTTCAAATAGGAATGGGAATGGGAATTAAAATCAGCAAGAAAGAGATCTCATTCCCAATGGAGAGACAGGGAATGGCCATTCCCTCAAATGGGGGAATGCCATTCCAGCAGGAATGGGAATGGGGTTCCGATTCTGCCCAACCAAACAGTATGAATCAGAATAGCCCATTCTAATTCTGATTCCAGACCCCTATTCCCGCAAACTAAACGGAGCCTAAAATTAAGAAGTTCTAGGAGATTAAGGGATGGGAAGAAGATTGGGCTGGGTTAGAGTTGGAGGAGTTTAGTTAGGGTTGGATAGCGTGTTGGATTTAGGATTGTCAATGGATCGGGTCAGACCCGATGGAACCGGACCGATTGTGGCAATTCTGGTTCAAGAACTTGTCCAAATGGGTCGGCTCCGGTTCTTAAAAAAATCCCGATTACTATCGGGTTGGAACCGGGCCCACCTTGTTCCAACCCACCTATATCCTCTGTCAAAGCACTATAGTCCAAAGGACATAAGACGACAATGACCATAGCTATCAGTTTCTATCTCAGTAAGTACGGGAATATGACAATGGGAGGATAGACAAAAATTGCAAAAAAACAATGAATAATAGAAAAAGGATAAGGACTGCCATAATTAACAACAGAAAATATATATTAATATAGAATGAAAATAAAACAATGATAGTTTGATTTCAATAATTTCAATAATTCCAGGAAGATAGGAATACCATTTATTGACTCAATTTCATACCATGTTTGCTTCTCACAAGAAATCACAAGCTGGATCCAAGTTCTATTTTAATATAGCAGAAAGACCTTTCAAATATTTGCTTTCCACCTAAAATTTTAAACTCTTGATACCCTTATTCCTGGGCATATCAAGTCAGGCAATTCATTTTTAATATAAATTCCACGACCAACATCTTATCCTTGCCATATCTGGCAAAACAGAATTTAGATATAAACCACTGTGTCCATTCATAATACATCTGTACATATAGCTTATTAGCCCGTACCTCATTAATTAGTCTCTATGTTACAACATCTGTACAATTCATGCAATCTACAAATCTGAAGTAAGATGAGACCGTAAGACAACCAGCTATGGTCTTCAATTGACAATCCTCGAGTGTTTAACCATAGTTTGCCTGCAACATAAAAAAGGCATGTATCAATACTAATCAGCATAACCATCTTCTTAAATTGTTTCAGAAGAACATCTAATTAAAAAAATAAGGTTTAACAGAGAGCTGTCATATGATGGATCTTCTATTCAATCAAACCAAGTGAGTCATGCACCCCTCATTATACACAATTGCCATGAAAGCACAGAATTACATAACATGTGAGACATCCAATACTTCACTAATGGACATCGAGGAATAATAGATATCTTCACGGTAGAGATAATAAACCTCCAATAGAAGATACAATGGAAGATGAGTAATAGCATTTCTCATTGTTTAAATTAAGAGGACGTTTTACCATTCTACATTCTACTATTCTAGCTGAGTCTGACTAGAAAGTGAGTGATATCAAATTTACACAGTTTAAGGTTACCTCTGAAACCTTTCGATATCCAAGAAGCTGTATTCGTGGAAGCCTCCTTTGGGTCGACAAAAACCCGTTTGCTTGGTAGGTAAGAATTTATTTCCTGCTTCATCTGTTGTGATTTCAAGTCCACATGCTTTGCATAAAGACTCCACATTTGACTCCTATGGGGTCCGAAGGCAGGTCTTTGAATTAGAATTTGAGCCAGAAACCATTACAAAACTTATTTATTACTCTCAGTGCACGTTAAGCAGGTTGATAGGAATCATACCTTCAGCATTAAGATTTTGGATAGGTACTCTAGTGGGTATGGATGGAGCTTGTATCCACCATAATTGATACAAGATATCGCCTCTACTCGGATCTATTAAAGATAGCAAGAAGAGCAAAGATCATTAGTTTTAGTTAGCTACTAATCTTCTGCACAAAGTAGATATACTACAAAAGAACTAAAGATAGGGATTAAAAATTAATTATCAGACTCAGACCAGATGTAGAACCATTTTGACCATTGGGTCAAAAATCAAACAGTTCAACTGACTGGTTCACTAATCAAGCTACTTGAATAAAAAATACAAAAAAGATTCCAAATAATCTTTTAAAGCTAATTTACATTATATAAGCATAATACAATAAATATTAGAGGTTACAACACCTCTTAATACATGTTTCTTGAGAAAATTGACCAGGTCAACATTTCGAAGAACTGACCAGCCCAAAAACCATTTGGGCCACCACTTTGTCTGGTTCAAGTCTCACAACATTGTTAAAAAAATGACAACAGCAATATTGACCTGGATGAAGCAGATTAAACTTGTCCAAGAATATGAGATGCATGAGAATAATTAATGGTTAATGATGGGAAAAATAACCGTCAATGCTTTGGATGGTTCCCAATTTTCAAAACAAAGAATCAACTATGATAATACAATTCACATATAAGCTTGTTAAGAGATTGCATACTTATCCAGAAAAAAAGTCCTACTGTTGAACTTATAATTTCTATAAAACAAATCAAGTAACCAAAAAGACACAGGGAAAGATTTGTCAGAGAATTTTTTTTATATAAATGATAGAAATTTATTTAGAGCAGAAAGAAATATCACATGATTACAGGGTACATCCAGCAGAGGCGTGAGATGCAGCCCCAGCCAGAAAACAGATTACCACTGAGCCCAGAATAATTCAGACTTATGCACCCCCCATGTTTTGCAAAAAAATAACAGCCATCCCATTAGCTGAATGCCTTTTCCATTGGACTGAAATTGTCATATCTCTGATCAGCCACTTAAATCATTTCATATATTCTTTGTATTTCCAAATAACAGTTTCAGGTTCCTTCAACCACCCTATGACCAGTTTAGAGTCACCTTCAACTAACAGTCTGTCATAATTTAATTCTCTGGTAATCTGTATTCCTTGTAAGACAGCTTGGAACTTTGCAAAAACTTAGTCCCCTACTCCAACTGGACCTGAAAAAATTGCAACATGACCTTCAGAGTTTCTAAAAACTCCCCCTATACCAGCCGGGCCTGGGTTCCCTAGACTGCTGCTGTAAAAATTCAGTTTGATGAATCCTTCATCCGGTGGTTTCCAACCCACAACAGGTTTGACCCTTGTAGTAGAACTCCTAGCTACAGCTTCCAAATTTCTCCATGTATCATCAAAGGAGAAATCAAAAAATAACTTTAGGGACTTGGCCCACATTATAGCTCTATATAATATGCATTCCAGCACTGCTTCCTTACTTCTTTCTTTATCGTTGAACGCTCTACCATTCCTTTCCTCCCACATCGTCCAAATCAATACAGCCCTGATACATCTCCACAAAATTTTACCCCTTCTCTTTGGCCAACTGAAAGTCGTTGGTTCAAAGAGACTTCCAAGCTAAATAGGCAAAGCTCCACTTGTGACCAAGAAGTTCAAAAAACTTTTCCTAGAGACAAGCAACAAAAGGGCAAGATATCAGAAGATGGTAGTAGTTTTCTCCACTTGCTTTACACAGGGTACACCAGTTAGGAACTTAGGGGACAGGCACATAAAAGGTCTTCTTTTTTGCAAAACATCCAACGCATTTATCGAGAACAACCTCATTGATGAAAGGTTCCATAAGACAGAACTGCAGATAAGATGCCTCTGATGCTATGGTACTAAAGAAACATTTGTAATTGCCAACTCTGAAGAACCTGTAATAGAAATTGACAAATTCTCAGCATAGGCAAAAGCCATATCGAAGCTGGATCTACTCTTAACATTGCCAATAATTAAAACAGAAACCTCAAAAGAAAAAAAAAATAGTAACAATGGATGAAATGTAATATTTCAAAAAATAGTAACAGTAGATGGATTGTAATATTTGAAGTTGGTTACCTTAAGACTTTCCGAGCAAAGCGCATTTCCTTCGATTTGGTAACAGAAGAGGGTTGAAGGCGAAACCACGTGGATAGTGACTCACCCTATAAGCCAAAGTCATAGCTAGAACTTAGAAGTAATAGGATAATGAAGAAGCCACAAACAAGAAAGACAAGAATAGTTCAGCAATAAAGATAGACACTGACCATTGATTCACCATTGAAGCCAAGATGAAGAAGAACATAAAATGAAAGAAACTCAGCTTCATTCCTGTTAATGGAGTTGAACTTTCGATTGGCATTGTACAAATCATAAAGAGATAAGAGGGACTTTGTCAGTTGCTCCATGTTGAGGTAATGCGCAGAAGAAATATTTGGATTACTGCTACATCTGAGAAGCTTGTGATGAGATATTATATGGAATTTGACCTGTCAGATGAAATATATTAATTCATTTTTTTTTTTTGATCAATAACACTTTCATTAAATCATCAATATAAGATTTACAAAAGGAAGACAAACACGCTTATCTTCCAAGAGCAACAAAGAACCTCAAGAAAAGGAAAAAAGAAAGAGAAAAGAAAGAAAACACACTAAAGTTACAGCTTGGCCCAAAAAAGTGAATCCCTTTCTGCCCCTTGTTTAGCTAAACCGTCAGCTAGGGAATTAGCC